AAAGTAGTAAATTGTGTTATGCAGTGTTCTCCCACCCCATACACGCACACCTTAGGGGCCATTCTGTAGGGTCAGACAGCTAGATAAATACTAGTCATGAAGGTCATGATCTCTACTCTCACAACACACATCCCACTCTAATTCCAGTCCAGAATATAATCAAGGAAGGCAGAAAAGTGTCATTTATCCCCTCATTCTCTCTGGTTAAAATGTTTTTCCATGTATAAAGCCTATGAATACAGAAGGAAATAGCTAGCAACTAGAGCCAATGAGTCAGGGAGCTGTTAAAGCAGGCAAATGTCCTTAGGAACTGGCAGTAAGAACTCAAGAGCACTCTACAATAGTGCTCAATAGAGGGGAAGCTAAGCAATTTTTTTTTTTTATCCTCACCTGAGGACATTTTTGTATTTATCTTCAGATAGCGTGGGAGGGAGGGGGGGGGAGAGAGAGAGAAACATTGATGTGTTTCACACCGACTGGCTGCCACCCGCACAACCCCAACTGGAGTGGGGACAAACTGCAACCAAGGTACATGCCCTTAGTGGGAACCGAACCCGGGACTCTCTGGTCCGCAGGCCGACGCTCTAACCGCTGAGAAAAATCGGCCAGAGCCAAGGTAACTCTTTTAAGAGATGTCCTAGCCCTGGCCAGTTTGGCTCAGCGGTTAGAGCGTCAGCCTGCGGTCCGGAGAGACCCGGGTTCGGTTCCTGCTAAGGGCACGTACTTCGGTTGCAGTTTGTCCCCGGCCCTGGTTGGTCGTGCGGGTGGCAGCCACTCGATGTGTCCCTTCACGTCGATGTTTCTCTCTCTCTCTCTCCCTTCCTCTCTCTCCCTCCCACTCTATCTATACAAAAAATGGAAAAATACCCTCGGGTGAGGATAAAAAAAAAAAAAAGAGAGATGTCCTAATTTACAAAGGTCTGAATGAGTTTAGTAAATATATCCTCTATATCCTCTTAATTGTAAGCATTTGTGTGTGTGATGGGCAGTAGGAAGGAACTAAATTCACAGGTGATTAACCTCTGAAACCACTCATTCAATTAATGTTTATTATATCATCAAGACAAACTTTTAAGACTTAGAGATTTATAATCAAGAGTAAGACATGCCCCACCTTTAAGGAACTTAAGTCCAGCCAGAGATGTTAAGACATCTACACAAAAAATTCAATTCAATAACCATTATTAGCACCTTACATTCAACAAATTGAGCTGCAATCAGGGCTAGCCACTCTGGATAGTCAAAGGTGATTAAGATACAGTCCTCTATGAAAAGAAGTGTAAACAAACATTTTAACAAAATATGTACCACAGCCCTGGCCGGTTTGGCTCAGCGGTTGGAGCGTCGGCCTGCAGTCCGGAGAGACCCGGGTTCGGTTCCCGCTAAGGGCACGTGCTTCGGTTGCAGTTTGTCCCCGGCCCTGGTTGGTCGTGCGGGTGGCAGCCACTCGATGTGTCCCTTCACGTCGATGTTTCTCACTCTCTCTCCCTTCCTCTCTCTCCCTCCCATTCTATCTGTACAAAAAATGGAAAAATATCCTCGGGTGAGGATAAAAAAAAAAAAAAAAAAATATGTACCACAATAAATACATATAGTCTACAGTGCAGAGTACCAAAAAAGTACTTATACAAACCATTTAAGTTTAAATAAAAGGTCTCATAAAACCTACTATTAAGTGTTGTAATTTAGATTAAACACTTTTATTTTTCTTTATTGATTTTGAGAGAGAGAGGGAGAGAGATAGAAGCATCAATGAAAGAGAACATCGATTGGCTGCCTCCTGCATGCCCCCTCCTGGGGATTGGGCCCACAACCTGGGCATGTGCCCTGACTGGAAATCAAACCAGCGACCTCTTGGTGCATGGGTCGACGCTCAACCACTGAGCAACACCGGCTGGGGTTAGATTCAGCACTTTTAAAACACAAAGGCCTGGTCCCTCAGCCTCTCAAAGGAAATACTTTTTTACAAGTATCAATAAAGAGAGAATTGAACACTGAGTTGGAAGCATTAATTTGAACTTATAATCTAATGGAATGGTAAACTCAAAAGTGACTATATGATAAAGACCATAAAAAATAGCCCTGGCCGGTTTTGCTCAGCGGTTAGAGCGTCGGCCTGCGGTCTGGAGAGACCCGGGTTCGGTTCCCGCTAAGGGCACGTACTTCGGTTGCAGTTTGTCCCCGGCCCTGGTTGGTCGTGCGGGTGGCAGCCACTCGATGTGTCCCTTTCACATCGATGTTTCTCTCTCTCTCTCTTCCTCTCTCTCCCTCCCACTCTATCTGTACAAAAAATGGAAAAATGTCCTCGGGTGAGGATAAAAAAAAAAAGAAAAAAAAAAAAAATAGCTCTGGTCAGTTTGGCTCAGCGGTTAGAGCATTGGCCTATGGTCCAGAGAGACCTGGGTTCAGTTCCCACTAAGGGCACGTACCTCGGTTGCATTCTGTCCCTGGCCCTGATTGGGTTGTGCAGGTGGCAGCCACTCGATGTGTCCCTTTCACGTAGATGTTTCTCTCTCTCTCTCTGTCTTTCTCTTTCTCTCTCTCTCTCTTCCTCTCTCTCCCTCCCATTCTATCTGAACAAAAAAATGGAAAAATGTCCTCAGGTGAGGATTAAATAAATAAATAAATAAATGCAAAGTGTTTTAAGGCAGGGCTCAAGGAAATAACAATAACTGAGAAGAGAAAAAGACCAGGAAATGATATTTAGGAGATGGTGTTCAAAATGGCTCTTAAAAGAGGAACAGATAAAAGTGAAGAAATCATGCCAGTTTTTCTTCATTAAAGTCACTGAAGGCAGAAACTTGCCTTATTCACCCCATACCCGTACCTAGTTAAGTAGCCTGTACCTACTTACACACTCAAAAATGGTTTTTGAATTCCACCAAAGATATTATGAGGAATCCATGTTAGCAAGACATAGAAGCAAGAACTGTGTGCTTAGTCTGATAGGCAACAGAGGAGACTCTTGGAAAATTTGCAAAGAAATAAGGCCAGCACATCAACACTTGAATACTCTTATATCATCATAAAAAGGATACATAAGATTACCCTATAACCTTTCCCTCCATGAAAGAAAGCTGGGTAGCTAGAGAACAAAAAGGAAGGTAGCATTACTCTGCTAACTTCCTATATCCTTTAAATTTTGTGGCATGTGACTATATTATCTATTCAAAAAATTACTAAAGCTTAATTTTTTTAAATCTGCACATTAAGAAAGTGAAGCTGGCAATAAAAGGGATAATGCACTAGCATGGAAAAAAAAAAATAAGAAAAAGGAGTTCAGCCCCCCTGGCCAAGTGGCTCAGTTGTTTGGAGCATCTTCCTGTACACCAAAAGGTCAAGGGTTCGAAAGCCAGTCAGGACACATACCCAGGTTTCTGGTTCGATCCCAAGTTGGGGCGCACAGGGTAGGCAGCTGACCAATGTTTCTCTCTCTCTTCCCCTCTCTCTAAAAATAAATTTAAAAAACATGTCCTTGGGTAAGGCTTAAAAAAAGAAAGAAAGTAAAAGGAGTTCAATTCAGAGGTTTAACAGTCAATGCAAATAGTAATAAAAGCTTGAATTAATCTGAAGGAGGAAGTAACTGAAAGAAACTCAAAAATATAGTTGTCAATGTAATCTAACAGTGACTAAATGTTTGGAGTGATGTAAGGGCCCATACAATAAATTAAATTAATTTACCTTTATTAAATGTATTTTTCTATTATAAAAGCAATATATTCAGAAAATATAAAGAGGAACATTATCCTTATGTCTACTATTAATAACCACTGTTAACATCTACATATATTTTCTTCCTCTTCATAGATTTAAAAAAATGTTTTTAAAATGTTTTTATTGATTTTTTAAAGAAAGGAAGGGAGAGCGAGAAACATCTATGTGAGAGAGAAACATTGATTGGCTGCCTCCTGCACAGCCACCACAGAAATGGAGCCTGAAACCCAGACATGTGCCCTGACTGAGAATCAAATCCGGACCTCTCAGTCCTTGGAACAACGCTCAATCCACTGAGCTACACTGGCCGGGCTAAGTTTAAAATTTTTTAACAGCTTAAGCTATAATTCACATACCATATAAATCACACATTCAAACTGTGTAATTCAATGGTTTTTATTATAGTCAGAGTTGTGCATCCATCTCTACAATCAATTTTGGAACATTTTCATCACCCCAAAAAGAAATTCCTATCACAGTCCTTGCTTGTTCCCCACTCTTTCCAGCCCCGGCAACTACTAATCTACTATCTGTCTCTGTATATCTGCCTATTTGGACATTTCATATAAATGGAATCATACAACATGTGGTCTTTTCTGACAGGATTCTTTCATTTAACAATGTTTGTAAGGTTTACACTTATTGGAGAATATGTCAATACATCATTTCTTTTTGTTGCTAAATAATATTCTACTGTATTAAGTTTTTATATTCCACACATATAATTTTATGTTCAGCATTTTCCATGCCATAAATGATTCATATATGCCATATTTAATGAAAAGCATAATGCCCCAGTAAGTGGCTATACCAGTTTATGTAATCATTAATTATTATTGTTGAACATATGAACTCTTTCCAGTTTTGTCTATTGTAGACAAACTTTGTTAAATCAAATTGAAGCTCCTTTTTTACATTTTTATTTATTTTTAATCAATTTATTTATTTTTGTTACAGATGATTCTCCTTTTTCCCCACTGATTCCCCCCCCACCCCCACCCTGGCCCCAGCTTTGTTGCTCATGTCCACTGTTCATGCACACATGCATATAAGTTCTGTGGCTTATCTCTCCTCCACCACTCCCTGTTCTGGGGATTGTCAGTCTGTACCCCACTTCCACGTCTCTGGGACTACTCCATTCCTCAGACTGTTATGTTCATTATATTCCACAAATAAGTGAGATCATGTAATACTTGTCTTTCTCTGTTTGGCTTGTTTCACTTAGGGTAATACTTTCCAGGTCCTCCATGTCGTCTCAAAGGATAAGAGATCTTTCTTTCTTACAGCTGCATAGTACTCCATTGTGTATATGTACCACATGAAGCTCCTTTCTGAATGATCTATCTGGATCCAGAGAAATGCCTCTCCCAGAAACTCGGAGCTTCTTAATAAGATTTCCAACAGAGAACAAGAGCCACGTTCTTCCAAAGAAAACTCAAGATTTCATCTATCCCAAGCCTAGGTAAAAGACAGATGCTAAAAGCTGTCTGATGCCAAAAAGGATGCCTCCAAAATACCCATTTTTAAAATAAAAACTCATGAATTTAAAGATATATTAGCATAGTTAAATATTAACTAGCCTGACTCTTCCATCAAAAATGTACAGCCTGGCCAGTGTTGCTCAGGGGATTGAGCGTCATCCTATGGACTGAGAGGTTCGTTTGATTCCCAATCACGGGCACATACCTAGGTTGCAGGTTTGGTCGTGAGGGAGGCAATGTGTCTCTCTTCATTGATGTTTCTTTCTCTCTCCCCCGCCTCCTCCCTCTCTTCCACTGTCTCTAAAAATCAATGGAAAAAAGATCCTCGGGTAAGGATTAATAAAAAAAAAAAGAAGAAATGTACATGGATGGAGAAAAGTAAATACTTTGTCTAAATATGATGGCTAGTATTAAGTAGCTTCAAAGAAATCAGAAAACTTTTGCTTTCCACAGCAGACTGAAAGATAATAAATAGAAAAAAAGAGAGAGGAAAAAAAAACACATCTAAACTAAAACAATAAAGATGTACTTACTCTTGCTACTAAATGACAGTAAATGAAAACCAACAAGTAGAGGAGAAAATGACACTGGTATAATCTAGATAGTCCTCATAAGCAAGTAGACATAGTGGGTTTTGATTGCTATTGATTACCATTGCCTGCTGCTTCCCATTCATTAACCAAAAATGTAAACAATCTCTAAATCACAAAAGTTTTAAAATTCTTAACTAGTTTTAGGATTGTTAATCCCCACCCAGTAAAATCTCTTAGAATTTGGTCTAAAAATAAAACTATGTGTCAAGTGTTCCTCAAGAAAAACTATGTACACTGATTGGAATGTGAAGCAATTAATACACTTTGTGAGTGATCTGCCAAAGAGACTTCAGATAGCCTGGGCCAAAACCAGTAACAAAGAAACAACACCCACTTGACATTTTCCTTGGTTAAAATCAGATCCTAGGAGTAATTTTAGAAGAAAGGCTAACATCTGAAGTTAACTACTAAAATCACTGAGCGCTATATAAGTATTCCAGGAGAAATGAAGGAATAGATGACTCAACCACTGTAAAATTAAAGATGAAAACTTTAATACATAATTAAGGAATTTTTACTTACAGCTTTAAGGCAAGAATAAAATACCCAGCCATTAGTTTCATAAAAATTATAGGCAAGGTTAATGTAGCCCTATACATGAAATACTAACTGAATTTAACACAAATATCTGGTATTGCATTTTGAACCTAGTCTGTTTGTTAAATAGGAATTTTCATCCACCCATACACATACATAAACACACATACACACACAAAATAAGACAACCTAAATCCTACAAACCCATCCTATATGAGCCCAGTGTTCCTTGATTTCCCATTGATTTAGTCAAGGTGAGCAATTCTCAAACTGCAGTCATTTGTTTTGAAGAAATGAGACTTTCATGATCTGCACAATTTAAAAAACAAAACAACCTTTTCAAGTCAAAGCATGATTTTGTGGTTTCACAAACCCCCTACTGTCACATTAGTCCACTGCCTTTCAAAGGCAATATTTAAAATTCTCTTCTGCAAGTCAACATTAAGGCATGCTGTTTGGCTAACAAACTCCTCCCAAGACCAGGATTATTATGTATGGCCTATTATGTTCCTAACATGCAAACAAAAGCACTCTCTCATGTAACATTTTTCTATTTTTAGGCAATAGGTTACCAACAAAGGTTTATCTGAAATTAAAGAGTAATAGAATCACACAGCTACTAACAGACTACTTAAAATAGTAATTTGAAGTTATTAACTATATTTTCCATTTAATAAGCAATCTACTGCTTCTGGAAAAGTAAAATTTAACTTCCAAGAAGTTGTTTAATCTTCAAAGCAAACCACCTACTGTGGATTTTACAAATGGCATGTTTTAAACAAACAAAACAAAAACAACTAGTTTCAGAGTAGTTGTAATACAACACTTGATGTTTAACCATTCCCCATTCCATCTTTTAAATACTGATCATAAATGACCAGCTTGATCTGCTTCTGTTTTCTTCTGCTAAACCAAATCCCATAAAATGGTTTAATGTACTGCACTTAAGCCTTCTACTTTGAAGGCTACTTCTACATTGTTTTTCAAGTATTGACAAGAGTTTAACAAGACTAAGCAATTCCACTATGATTTATACTCATAAACACCACATACCTAAAAGATAAGCTTTTACAACAGAAACAGTAACAGGTTCATTTTCCCGAGTATACAATGTTCAACTGGGTCAAATGCTTCTGTTGCAATTTAAACAGCTTAGTCCTTGAAGTGGTAAGAGTGAAAACAAGCCAAAAGAGGTTTTTTTTCCTAGTTAAATTTTTGGGGATAACATTGGTTATTAATGTTATATAAGTTTCAGGTGTATAATTTTATAATCCATCATCTATATATTCCATTGTGTGCTCACCTCCCGAAGTCTAGTCTCCTTCCATTAACATCAAAAGAATCTTAATGTTCTCCAGTGGTATATAAGCATCACAACCCAAGAGATTTAGGAAATGTTAGCTAAAGTCTGTTGATATGATAATAATCATCACTTTCACATCACATTAATCACAATACAACTATTTTTGGGGAAATCATGTTTATAAAGCTAAAAGCTTTATAACAGAATTGGAATCCATGGAATCAATCCAAAGAAACAGTTTACTGTACAAAACACATTTACTAAACTAAAAATGCTCACTTGCATTCTACACTTTTTCAGATGTTTTACATAACCTGCCAATTTCTATATGACTGGGGAGCATGGTTTTTATTGTCAACAGCCATTTAAAATGTAGTATGAGTACAGTGTACTACATTTATAAAGCCAACATTTTTGTGAGACTTTAGAACAGCGATTTTCAACCTTTTTCATCTCATGGCACACATAAACTAATTACTAAAATTCTGAGGCACACCAAAAAATATATTTTTTGCCTGTCTGACAAAAAATAGGTGTAACTTTGATTCATTCACACCAGCCGGCTATTATTGTGATAGCTATTGTCTTTTACTTTTTTTTTTTTTTTTATCCTCACCCGAAGATATTTTCCCATTTTTTGTTCAGATACAGTGTGAGGGAGAGAGGGAGAAAGGGAGGGAGAAAGGGAGGGAGGGAGGGAGGGAGGAACATCAACGTGAAAGGGACACATTTAGTGGCTGCCTCCTGCAAGACCCAACCAGGGCCAGGGACAACCTCAACCAAGGTACTCGCCCCTGGAGGGAACAGAACCCAGGTCTCTCTAGACTGTAGGCCGACACTCTAACCGCTGAGCCACACCAGCCAGGGCTGTTGTCATTTTTTTAATTTGATAATCTAAGAGATAGTGCCTGGCTCAGTGTGTTGGGCATGGTCCTGTGCACTGAAAGGTAACCAGTTCGAATTCCGGTCAGGGCCAGGTTGTGGGTTCAATCCCCAGTCGAAGTGGTGCAGGTGGCAACAACTAGACATCAAGTGGTGAGCACTCAATAGAATATATAGATGATGTATTATAAAATTGTACACCTGAAACTTATATAACATTAACCAATGTTATCCCCAAAAATTTAACTAGGAAAAAAAAAAAAAAACTCAGGAGAAAAAGTGTAGAATGCAAGTGGGCATTTTTTGTTTAGTAAATGTGTTTTGTACAGTAAACTCACATCAATGTTTCTCTTTCTCTCTCTCTCTCCCTTCCTCTCTAAAAAAATCAATGAAACATATTTTTAAAAAGGGGGAGACAGTGCCCTTGACTAAATATTCAAGTATTGCCTCCCCCCACCCCATTGATTTTAGAGAGGGGAGGGGCAGTGGAAGGGGAGAAGAAGAGGGAGAGGGGGGGGGAGAAGGGGGGGAGGGAGAGAGAAAAGGAGAGACATTGAATACTTGTTCCACTTATCTATGCATTCACTGGCTGATTCCTGTATGTTCCCTGACAGGGGATCTAACAGCAACCTTGGGTATGGGGATGGATGAGGCTCTAACGACCTGAGCTACAGGGCAACCGCAGGTATTGCATGTTTTAAAAATTCTTGAGACACACCAGCATGCCATGGCACACTGGTTGACAGTCGCTGCTTTAGAAGAATCTTCTGCAAGAATCCCTAGGAATATGAGTTCATTTATTCACTGTGTAAAGCACTTCTCAAAAAAGTTCTTAACTGGGTTTAACAAAGTAAATCTTTTCAATTACTATTAGCTTCAACATCATCAAGAGAAGGGGGAAATTCGTTATCAGCAAGAAAAAAGAATATGCTACACATTTAAAATAATCCAAATTAAATAAACTAGTTCACTATCTTCAACAAAGATCCTTCACAATCTAGACAACTTTTCTTTTAGGCCCTCATCTCTCACCACTTCCTTTCAGCACCCCAGACTACTTATTTGCTGCTCCCCAAACTCATCCCAACCCTGGCATATCTCTATACCTTTATACCACCTGGTCCCTCACTTTAGAATGCTCTGCGTTCCTCCTCACCTGGTGAGCACTTATTCATCAGTCCAAAACTCGGAGTAAAAGTCCCCTCCAGTGGACAAGCTTCTTCAACTCCCACAAGGAAAAACTAGTTCCAAAATCCCACACTTGGTAAACCCATCCTTATCAGAGCGCATTGTTTTCACGCCTTGGGGGCTAACGGAGGGCAGACTCCCTCCACTCAGCCACAAAGGACTAGGCAGAAATACTCAATGAACGTGCTCTGAATTAATTCATCCCTACATAGATTAAGTGATACTCTAGAACCCGGTCACGTCTCAAGGAGACATAGGAGATCAAATCATTCTTCCCACCAGAGAATGAATACCAGAGGCACACCCAGAGCCCTGGAAAGAGAACAATGAATGAACACAGCCGCCTCGCCTCCCCTGATGTC